TGATCCCAGAGCGTGAGATGGCGTGGCATTTCTCTTCCTGCCAATTTGAGGCACACTCAGACCAAAAGCACAGGAGAAGTGCCTCCCACAGTTTTGCTGCTTGCTTCCCAGTTCTAGAGGTCTTAGCATGAAACTGAAAGGCTCGCCACACCGGTGGCACACACCTGTTATCTCAGCACTTTGGGAACTGAAACAGGAGGATCATGAGTTCAAGGTAGGCCTGGGCTCCATAATGAGACCCTGACTCAACACACACACACACACACACACACACACACACACACCCTGAAAGGCCTAAAAAAAAGCAATTTTTTTCTGAACAAGTGTGTGTCTGCATGGATTGGGGTATGAGGAGGAAGTGTAGTCAAAGGGGGATTTAGAATTTGATACAATGGAGGCCCGGGGATTTAGCTCAGTGGTTTCGCTGCCTGCAGTGCAAGCACAAGGACCTGAGTTCGATCCCTGGTACCCAGAAAAAAAAAGAATTTGATACAATGGAAAAGACGAAACAGTATCAATAATAATAATAACAACTACCATTTAGGGATCCATATTATGACAAACACATTGTGAAGTGATTTATACAATATTTTATTTATCTTTCAAACAACTCATGATGTTTTAATCTGCATTTCTCTAACGACCAGCATTATTGAACATTTTTTCGTGTATTTATTGAACATCTCTACTTCCTCTTCTGAGAAGTGTCTATTCATTTCGGTTGCCCATTTTTTGATTGGGTCTTTTATTTTGGGGGGGGGTCTAATTTTTTTAGTTTTTATATATTCTAGATGTTAGTCCTCTGAGGAATTGTGGGCAAATTTTTTTCTTATTCTGTAAGTTGTCTCTTCACTTTGTTGGTTGTTTCCATTGCTGTACAATAGCTTTTTAATTTGACATAACCCCATTTGTTGATTCACAGTATTACTTCTTGTTCTACTGGGGTGCTGTTCAGAAAGTTCTTCCATACACCTATGTCTTCCAGAGGTGTACCTATTTCCCAACAGATTAAATGTTTCTGATTTAATATTTAGATTTTTGATCCACTTGATCTTACTTCAGAAAGAATGACCATTATCAAGAAATCAAATAATAACAAATTCTGGTGAGGCTGTGAGGAAAGAGGAACACTTCTGCATTGTTGATGGGAATGTAAACTAGTACAACCACTATGGAAATCAGTATGGAGATTCCTCAAAAAAACTAAAAAAACTAGAAATTCCATTTGACCCAGCTATTCCCCTTGTAGGTATCTTCCTGAAAGAGTTAAAGACATCAGATCTCAGTGATACATGCATACCCATGTTTATAGCAGCACAATTCAAAACAGTTAAATCTTGGAATCAGCCTCTATGTCCATCAACAGATGAATGAATGAAGAAAATGTGGTATTTATACATAATGGAGCAGTACTTTGCCATAAAGAAGGATACATGTGAGGCATTTGTAGATAAATGAATGCATTTCGAGACCATAACCTTAAGTGAAATAAATCAGGTACACGAGTTAAATTTCTCTTATATGAGAAACCCAAAATATAAATAATAGGAAGCAGCGAGATATTTTTCAAATAGGAAAAGGAACAAGCAATGGAGGGAGGGAGGGAGAAGGAAGGAAGGAAGGAAGGAAGGAAGGAAGGAAGGAAGGAAGGAAGGAAGGAAGGAAGGAAGGAAAGAAGGAAGGAAGGAAGGGAGAAAGTTTTAAAAGATAGAAACAAATGAAAAATGGAAATAGTTTTTTCAAATGGGAAGGGGAACAAGAGTTGGAGGGAACAGGGAGGGGTGGGAGAAGAAGGGAACAAAAAAGAATTAACATGTGTTATGTACATGTACATACTCCCCAGGATAAATGTAGTCATTATGTACTACAAACATGTGCTAATAAAATTATTTTAAAACCCATTGAGATAAGCAAATATGCACCCATTTTACAGATGAAAAGGCTCCCCAAATCTCACAGCTCATGATTGGCCAAGTTCCAGGGATGAGATCCTGATGCCTTCACTCTAAACCACTACTAGAACTGCTCTCCCAAAGCTAGAGACCAGAAAGGAAAGGAAATTGGTTTATGGTGTGGCAGAAGGCTTGAGATGAAACATAAAGAACTTTCTGACAATGAGGGTTGTTTGGTTGCAGTCAAGGCAATTAGGCTTGCTAGCACTTTTCCTCTGAGGGCCTTTACATTTAAGATGAATGGATGCCTCTATCTCTGGGTGGGTTAAGGGACCAGTTCTGTTCCCAGCATGGGGCTGGCCTATTTGAACCAACTGACAACCTTGCTAGGGACACAAGACTGCCACACACGAACCGTTAGATAACAGGAAGCAATAGGGCAGGATGCATGCCCAAGCAGACCGGAAAAAAGGGTTACAGACAGCAGATGCTGCTGCGGTTTAAAGCAAGGGCTTTGTGGTCAGGCAACATCTCTGGCTCCCAACTGGCTCTACTACCTGTGTGACCCTGGGTATGTTAACCTCACCAAGCCTAGGTTTCTTAGTCAAAAGAGGCTAAGAATAGAACCTGCTTTGGAGGGTTGCCATGAAAATTAAATAAGATGATCCATGTAAAATACTTGGCAGAGAACCTGGGCACAATAAGAATACAATGAACAGTAGCTGCCATAATAATAATCATTGTTGGAATCCAGAGGCAGGAGACAGCAGACAGAGGTATAGGTCTGCAGGTAACTGAGAAAGTCTTTCTGGGAAACCCAAATCTTGTCCTGGATCTTGAAGAATTGTTGGGATTAAGTCAGAAGGAAAGAACAATGGCAGAGTTAGTGTTTGCAGAATGGGGTGAGATTTCAAATTCTTTATCATCTTTAAAAAAATCTGGTGGGTTGGTTCCTGTTTTTTTTTTTTCTTTCTCTCTTTTGTTCTGTTTTTTGGGTCTCACTCTGTAGCCCAGGCTGTCCTTGAACTCCTGATCCTCCTGCCTCAGCCTCCCAAGTGCTAGGAGAAAAATCTGTGGTTGGAGTAGAGAATGAAGGTGATCATGGGGACGTGGTGGAGGAGAAAAGAGGTCTTCCATCCTTGCTTCCAAACCCCAAACTGAATGAGACAAAGCCTCAGAGGTATAAAAGAGAAATCAGACATCCAAGGTTCGTCTGCCTACTTCTTCTGGGTTTCTATTGGTGAACGGCCAAGGGGAAGGATCAGGTGCCTGGGAACCTGGCTGAGGCCAGAGCCTGTGCAGGAAGTTAGGAAATATGGGTGAGGCCCTTAATGAGCGTGTGGGCTGACTCACGAGGGAAGACCTAGCTTTAAGCCTTCATTGATGGCTAATGTCCAGCAGGAGGCCAGTTTAGAGACCCTGGGCATCTCTAACTTTCTGTCCTACCAGGTCAGGGTAAGAGTCCCTAGGGGTGCAATCTTTGGGCCAATCCAACTATTCTCTGGCACCTTGCCTCAACTTCCCAAGGTGAAGATCAAGTCCTCAGTGGCCAGGTTGTTCCCTGAGGGAAATGCTGTTTGTTTGTTTGTTTATTTATTTATTTATTTATTTTGGTACTAGGGATCGAACTCAGGACCTTGCACTTGCGAGGCAGGCAGTGGAACCACTGAGCTAAATCTCCAGCCCATAACAATTTTTTTTTTTTGGTACCAAGGATTGAACTCAGGACCTTTCGCTTGCGAGGCAGGCAGCACCACCACTGAGCTAAATGCCCGGCATTGCTGTTTATTTTAGATCTTCTGTGCCTAATGTCTGTCAAGGACCAACTGTCATCCCCAATATCAAGCACCATCTTGCTAATGTCAATTCTCTTTTCCCTAGCCTGTGATTCTGTAAGTTTAGAGATCCGACAGTCTGTGTCCTTAACAAGCATCCAGACCATTCTTTAGGTAAGACAAGTTTGGGAAACCCGGAGAATCTCTTACATCCCTTTCAGTCCTGAATTTAGGCCACAGAGTGTAATCCGAAGGGCCGTGTGTAAGGCGTGCACTCTGCTGACCCGGTAACCACAGGGCCTTGTGCTGCAGACTGTAGCAGGGAAGGAGGCTACAGAACAAAGAAGGGCTCTACCCATCTACCAAGATCCTAAAGAGAACAGGGAGACCTGGAACAGACGTGAGAATGGCCACAGAGAGCAATGGGCTCTGAGCATGGCTCTGCGGTCTTCTCTAACATGGCACTTGCAGAACAGTGTGGGCATCAGCGATACACATCAGGCGACGCCACTGCAGAGTTTCAAGACAGCTCCAAAGTGACACGGGAAATCAGAGAAGGCAGGAGCACAGACCTCCCAGTCTTCACCCTCTTATTATTGGGGTGCGCGGCAGGGTAGGCGCCTCTTCTCGGGGATGAGGGGGGCAGCGTCCCGAGTGGTCGGTCGGGTACCTAATATTCCCCAGAGGAAAGGCCCTGAGGGTCGAGACTCGAGTGAAAAGGAAAGCTTCGGAGGGGCTTACAAAGTGTGAGATCTCACACGTGACGGGCGAGAACCCCAGCGCCACTGCCTGGCAGGAGAAACGCAGAGTGGGAGAGGAGGTTTGATTTCGCAGACGCTTTTGAGAAATTCGCTGTGTCAGAGAAACTGAAAGGCCAAACCAAACCCCTAAAAATCCAAGCCCGGTTACTGTATCCACGTGGCACAGAAGAAGGGGTGGGGGTGTCAAGCAGGGAAGAGTCACCCGCCCCGCCCCTCTTGGAAGGCAGGGATTCGCCGCGAGGGCAAACTCGCGACCCAGCCCTGGCCGCCGACCGGGCGCAGCGGGGAGGGCGGGGCCCTAGGAAGCCCTTCTCCCACAAAGCGGCCGCGCCGCGGTCCATTCTCTACAGCCCCTCCCCCGAGCCGCCGCGGGCCCTTTAAGGGCCGAGAGGTACGCGGTCTCTTTAAGGCAGGTCCCGGTGGTTTCTGTTTTCTGAAGGAAGTGACGGGGGGGTGGGATTGAATGAAAAGTGCAAAACAGAGTCTGGAGCACCGGAGTCAGGGGCGCCGGGGCCGTGGCGCGGAGCGGGGAGTGGGGCCTGGCCGGGAGCGCCGTGCGGGACCCCGGCGGCCGGGGCGCGGCGGAGCGCAGCGCACGTGAGTCCGCGCCACGTCGCGGGCGCCCTCGCGGGTGGCGCAGTCCCCGGAGGAGCAGCGCCTGGCCGCCCTGAGCCGGCCCCCAGCTTCGGACGCAGTTTGCCGGCGCCGGAGGGCGGCGGCGGCCCCGGGGATGCGTCCCCCCTGCCGCCCCGCGGTCCCCACGGTGCGGCTGCTGCTGCCGCTGTTGCTGTCGCTACTGGGGGCGCCGCGCGGCGTGGGCGCGGGGCCGGCCGAGCTGCGGGTCCGCGTGCGGCTGCCCGACGGCCAGGTGACCGAGGAGACCCTGCAGGCCGACAGCGACGCCGACAGCATCAGCCTGGAGCTGCGCAAGCCCGATGGCACCCTGGTCTCCTTTACCGCCGACTTTAAGAAGGTGGGAACCGAGCGCCAAGCTCGCACCCCCCTCTCGGGCGCACCCTGGCCTGCAGACGGGATGACGGGACGGAGGGGACTTGTTATACTCAAGGTCACCCGAGCTCTTCTTCCACCTCCCTGCCCACCGCCCACGCCCCGCGCTCCGCGGCTGCCCTCGGTGAACTCCATCGCTGCCCGCTCCTGCATCCTCCCATCCTCTGGCTTGCCCCGCTTGGCTGTGGGCACCCCGAGTCCCGACTCAAGCCCTGACCAACTCCTGTCCCTCCCTGTTCCCGCTCCCCCAGCGGACCCTCCTTCGAAAGAGTTCACGCTGACATCCAGGCCTCCCTTCTTGGAGTCCCTGTGCTCTAAGGGAAAGTCCGGGCTGGGTATCAGAGGTCCTGGGTTCTCTCCGAGTGGCTGTGTGCTCTTTTCTTCTCTGGGCCTGTTTCTCATGTCTACAGGGCAGGGAGGTGACTTCGAGGTCTCCCAGCCCAAACCCCTTGGAGTCTCTGAATCACCTCTCCCTGTTTCCCTTTCCTGGGCAGAGCTGCCTGCCCCTAAACCCTCCAGGGCATGGAGGTGCTAGGGGTTTCAGGAAAGGGGCCTGGAAGGGCAGTTGGTGACTAACGGTGACCCAGCAGCAGGGAACTTGGAGGGAAAGAAAGTAGGTGAGGGCCTGGGATTTAGCTCAGTGGTTCCGCCGCCTGCCTCGCAAGCTCAAGGTCCCGAGTTCGATCCCCGGTACCAAAAAAAAAAAAAAAAAAACAAAGTAGGTGAGTTTTAGATGTTCTAAGGAAGTTTCCTGACAGCACCAGCCCCTCTCCTAGTAAAAAGAGACTCCGTGCTCATCTCTGAAGAGCAACGAGGAGAGACTAGTTCGATAGCTGGGCAGCTGGAGAAGCCAAGGCGAGGGACAGCCATTTCTCTCCTCCCTCTTAGAGACTGGGAGCTGGGCTGGACCCTGGGAAGGGAGGGGCAGAGTCTGGGGAGTGGACTGTGGAGTATGGAATGAAAGTCAATTGCTGGGCCGGGGGTTTAGCTCAGTGGTTCCGCCTGCCTCGCAAGCATAAGGACCCGAGTTCCATCCCCGGTACCAGAAAAAAGAAAAAAAGAAAGTCAACTGCTGATCCGTCCCAGGACCACCAAGTTGTTACTGCCTAGGACTTAGCTGGCGGTGGAGCCGTCACAGATGGGAATACTTGATGGCCCTTTCTTCGCTGACCCAAGCTGGGTTCTCACAGGCAGATAGGGGCTGAGGAGATTTCCAGTGGAAAAAGGGAAGTTGATAGGGCCAGAACAACCTCTACTTCCACCTAAACTTCAGGGGCATTTTATCCAGTGTTCTGTTCTTGGGAGACCTGAATTAATGGCGGAATCCACCAGGAGTCAGAGATCTATTCCCACATATTAGTCCTGTGACCCTGAACGGGAGCCTTCTATCCCCATGACTCCAGGCCTCTGGCCACCCTGGGCCCCCAGAGAGACTTGCCTGTCCCTGGGACCTCCTCAGCATCCAAGGCTGAGTGTGAAAGGAAGGGGGTGTGGCTGAGCTTTTATAGCCTCTGGCTACAACGGGGAGTTGTTGGGTTTTTTAATCACTCTGCCCTGAGGGAGAGGAGAGAGAGCCCAGGTAGCTGTGACTATGACTGAGGCAGCAGTGATTGGCTTGAGTGTGGGGTACTGGGGTTTGGGCTGAGTTTGGAGGGTGGGTCTGACTGCCCAGCTAGGTAGTGCATTTGGAGATCAATTTAATTTTCCAAGTGGTTCAAACCTCTGCCTGGGTATCCAAAGTGTGCTTTCAGGTTAGCCTCTGGCCTAGAAGCTGGCATATCACATCAGCAGCTCCTGGCATCTCCAGTTTCATCGGCAAGGGACAGAATTGGGAATGGAAGGCACAGAAAAGAAATCAGCTCTCCAGGGTCCCCTCCACTCCAGGTTCTCAGTTGGCCTCGGGCAGGGTGGAGTTGACATCACAGGAGGGAGGGAAGAATGGAGGAATGATCTTTAACTGCACCTCAGTCCACTCTCTCCATTGTCCAGAGTGGCTGCTATGTTCCAGCCCTTCTGGTTGGTCACTTCTTTTGTCATTTGCTCACTGATCAAGGCTTGGTGCCTCATAGTCCTTGGCAGATTTCCACCAGAAAGTTCTGTCTGGAAGTAATGTTATTGTTATTTAATGTAATTGTTATTTAAAAAAAAAAAAGGGCCTGGAAGGTGTGTGTGTGTGTGAGTGTGTGTGTGTGTGTGTGTGTGTGTGTGTGTGTGTCATATACGAAACCCATTTTGGGGTAAGTTCTGAATCTGCTTGGGAACAGTGATATTTGCTTTCTAATCATCCTGGACTAAAAGAGACAGGCTTGATTTCCTACTCATGAGCTGGTGACTGCCGAGCCAGCTATGTGATCTCCCCAGGCCTTCCCTAATTCAGCTATAAAGTGGGGCTAGTAATAGTGCCTGTCCTGTGGTAATTGAGAGAACGAACAGGGTAGTGCACATGAAGTATTCATTCTGCATCAGGTGCTGTGTTAAGCACCCAGGAGCTAGAGGAGCCACTGGATTTGATAATTGGGCTTACACAGCATCTCAACGAGCACTATCCCTGCTAAGCTTGAACTCAAAGAGGCTGAACAATGGATCCAAGGTCCCACAGAAAGTCAGCACCGACCTTCCAGGAGCCTGTGTCCCTGCATATCGGTTTTTGCTACTGTTGTCCTGAAGCTGGTGAAGCAGTGGGTCATCCACTCACTGTAGAGCACTGGAGCTTGGGCTTGGCTTACAGAAGCCACAGCAATAAATGTCAGATGAATTTTGGGACCCTGGGAGGAGAGGGGCAGAGTCTGGGGAGTGGGCTAGGGAACCAATGAGGTTGACTTAGGTCACAGGGCCAGGGAGATCAGTGGACAGTGGAGTATGGAGTGAGAGTCAACTGCCGGTCTGTCCCAGGACTGCTGTGCATCTCTGCAAGCCTTGCCTTAGGCTGATCCCTGCCAGGCCCAAAGAATGCCATGGCTCAGCTGTGCCCAAGCTCTGCTGCACATTTGAGTTACCTGGTGAGCTTTGAAAACTCCCCATGGAATCATAATGTCTGAGGGTGAGAGCCAGGCTGCATTTTTCAGAGGACTCCAGGTGACTGCAATGGGCAGCGAAGCCTGGGGACTCCTGGTGTAGCTGCTCAGGGGAGGGGAGGGGACTTGGAGGAGGAACTAGATTAGACTGTTAAATGAAGCTGGAGCCCAAACTCAGCCACGTATGTGAAACCTGCCATTCTACCCACAATAACCCTGATGTGTTTTATTTTGGTCTTGTTTTTGTTTTCGTGTTGGGGATTGAACTTTGGGCCTCAAGCATGCTAAGCATGAGCTCCATGCCCATCCTTCCCAAAATATTTTAAACAACATCTTTAGGCCTAATTCTCCATGCCCTCATCATAACAATTCTCATTCCTAATACACACTCAAAAAGCAATAGGCTTCTTTATAATCCGGACCCCATATATGTAATTAGACCTGTATGTACATAACCACTGGGCATGACTAAGAACAGGCATGTCTTACCACTCTTACCTGGCTGGTCTGACAGCCCTCTTGGTCCCCATGCCCCTAGCTAATGTCCCTGTCCAAGCTCTCTTTTGCCTCTGTCCCCCAGTCTGAGTGTCCAAAGCTGGGGAAAGGATGAGTCATGTTCCAGGCAGCCTGGTTTGGTGCTGGCCAGATGGGGAGGGTGGGGCTGAAAGATATGAAAAAAGTCATGTGTGACTGCATCAGGGCGGTGGGTTCCTGGGAGAGGAAAGGAAGAGACATACTGCAGGAGTGAGAAAGTCAGGGATCATAGGGCCTACAGGCTGGAGCCTCGGAGGGAATAATGAAGATCAGCAAGCCACATGGCACTGGGGGTCAGTTCAGCATCTCTCAGGAGGGACAAGGATCCAAGGAGTTTGGAAGCTTGTGTCCTGCCCAGGGCACCAATGTGTGAGTGGGAGCCAGAGGAAGAAACAGTGCAGAGAGTGTCAGAGTCAGTGCCCTGGGGGGTTCCCTGTCTGGGAGGTGGGGAACAACTTGGGGAGCCTGTGAGATATGTGTAGTTAGTGAAAATTTGCAGTGTGCAAATGGCCATGGTGATCCTGAGCCTGTTTTTTCTAAGTAGCTGACACATCATGTGGATGTGAGACAAGAGAAGCTTTTAGGGCTCAGTGGCCCCCTGCTCTGTGTGTGTTAGGTCCCGTGATTTGGTGTGTAGTCATGTGATGGACCAAAAACCTTCTTGGCAATCAGAGGACAGATGAGCTTTCAAGGGAGGCCCAAAACTTTCTGGAGTACAGAGCATTTTGTCAAGAGTTAGTGAGGAGTCAACAGATGGGATGACCAGGTTTTGGACATTGGGCCCTTGGGTCTAACCCCAGTCCCCCGTCTTATCTGAGGAATTCCTCCTTGGACCAGGGATGGGCAGTCCTGCTGAAGGTTCAAGTGTGCTCCCTGGACCTCTGCCTGCATCTCTGACCCTTGTATGCTGTGTCCATGTGGAGCCTTGTGAACGACCCTCTTCCGTATCTCACCTGGAAACGGTGGTGTGGTGTAGCCTGCTGAGAGATAGGGGAGAGGAAGAGGTGGCATTCTTTAGTCTCAGGCTCCCCAGCTACAGAGAGGTGGTGGTGGATAAGCTGGGACAGACCATTGTTCCCAGACAGACAGACAGAAGGCCCAGCCTGGAGATAAGGACTGCACGAGTGTCTAATATCACGTATCGAGTAGTCCCTCAGTTCACACATGGGGCCTCATCGATCCTTACTACTGTTTTGTCAGGCACATCCTGCTTCCATTTTGCAGATGTGCAAACTAATATCTGAAGTCACAGTGAGAAAATCAAACAGGTAATGATCCAAGATTAGGACCCAAGATTAAGATCCTTTTACTGTATCCTGACTTCCTAGAAACCTTCCTGTGGCACCTTGGGTGAACTTCTTCCAGAAGGCTGCAGGACCCTGGGGAAGAGAAGAAGGAGGCAGAAAAAGGCCTTCAG